AGGCTAAAAAAATCAGAGGCAACATAAGATGGAGAAACACAGCAGTTCTGCTGGTGGATTAAAATGAGTGGGTATGGGCCCAGAGCAGGAGACAGCTGACGTGAGAGGAAGGGATGAGAATGGAAATTTTAACAGATGTAGGAAAGAGAAGAGTTTCTCCTTAGTGACTGTTGATAATATGTACTAGTCCACACTGAATCCTCGGGGTAAAGTGCCAGATTTTGCAAGGAAAGAGACTCTGCAATGGAAAAGGAGAGTGCTTGTGGCTTGAACCCTGTTTTTCTGTTAGCCTCTGTTCACTGTCCCCCCACATCAGCAGGGAGTGAGTAGATGCTGGCCTCTGTGGGCTTGTTTTGGGGAGACTGAGCTGCAGTGGGAGCTATAATAAGCCAGCTGCACAGACATGCTCACTGGAGCCTGCATTCATCTGAGCTGCTAAATTTAGGTCTCTTCCAGCAAGAGAGCATGTGCAAAGAGGCACAGGGATGAGATACAACTGTCGTACGAGCTGGAAAAAAGAACCTGAGAGGGTTGATTTACCCATTATAATAACTGTACTTTTGGCATCAGAGGAGACCAAAGTCCCTGAGGATAAACACAGTGAAGACAAGATATGTATTATTGCAAGGTTGATTTCCCTCTGTCAGCGTCATGATCTTGTCCAAGGCTGACCCCGGCAGTGTCACATCGGGGTAAAACTGAAGTCCCTTTGCCTGAAGTGTTTTGACTCGGGGGTGGTGCCATTTATTGGGGCAAAAATAATAATCCTTATGAAAATAATTATTCTTGCAGAAATCATGGCTGTTTGTGACGCAAAGTTCTCAGACAAGGGGGGACGATGCTGAAGACCTGGAGAGATGCTGTGGGAGCAAAGGAGACACAATACAGGTAAGAAATCCCCACGAACAACAGGGGGGGAGGAACAGGACTTCTTGCTCAAGGCTGTTGCAGCCTGTGTGCTCCACGCCGTCGTCCCCCTCGCTCCCCCCTTGGGTATGCCCTTTTACACGACAGCATAAAGCGAGACATCAGACGCTGGCTGCGCGCTCGGGCTGCAGTCAGAGAGACCCTCGTGTTCCCAGAGATTTTTACGGGCAATGCTGGGGAGCACGGAAGCCATCTGAGCCTGCCAGGCCACCTTTACTTGCAAGGGCCTCTGTGTAACCCCAAATGCGCATTTCCTAAAGGTGCGTGAGGCTCCCTGGGGAATCTCTCCCTGCTCTGGATTACAACCAACTGTTTACGGAAGGGCAGAGGAGGGGAGCAGGGCTGGATTGCCTTCCCGTCAGGCGTTCCAGAAAAGCTGCTTTGCGCCGGCGAGTCCCACCCTGCTCCAGGGCGGGGACTTTGCCATCCAGGACAAGCCGAGTAAAGCTCTCCCCATCCCTGCCAAGGCACCCGCTTGGGACAGCAGGTGAGTGCCAAACTAACCGGGGGGTCCCCTTTGGCATGGGGAAGGGGTCGCGTGGCTAGAGGGGCCTGGGAAGATGCCCAGCACCGTCCCCACTTGCCAGACCGCAGTGCGGCTGTGCGGGAGTGGGACAGCCCTCGGCTGGGCGGATGCCCCGTCGGGGCCATGATGCCAAGGCATTGGGGCAGCCCTGGAGGGCGCAGGGCTGGGGTGAGGAAGGACAGGGAGGAGGGTTGTGGGAAGGAGGAAGATGGCTGACTCTTCCCAGGCACAGAGATGCCCAGCACCGTCCCCACTTGCCAGACCGCAGTGCGGCTGTGCGGGAGTGGGACAGCCCTCGGCTGGGCGGATGCCCCGTCGGGGCCATGATGCCAAGGCATTGGGGCAGCCCTGGAGGGCGCAGGGCTGGGGTGAGGAAGGACAGGGAGGAGGGTTGTGGGAAGGAGGAAGATGGCTGACTCTTCCCAGGCACAGGGAGTGCAGGTTTTGCTTCCTATTTCTGCTGTGCCCTGTGGCCAAGCTGGCACGTCCTCCCCGCTGGATGCTGGAGTGTGGAGGGCATGGCAGGGGGCTTGTGAAGCGGCTTTGGGTGGGTGCAACAGGCTGAAGCGAGGAGTACGAGGCTGTGCTAACTCAGTATTATATTTATATTCCTTTTGAGGGCAGTGGCCACGCAAAGGTCATCGTGTGGGATGTGCTGGGATATTTCAGCTGGCTCGGGGCTCGCCAGCAGAAGGGAGATCCTTTCCTGAGCTGCAAATCGGGCTGGGATCAGTCAGTCACCCTGCTATGAGCCCCAGACCTACCCCGGGGCACTCTGTCTCCCTGAAGCGCAGCCAGCTGCGGAGGAAGCAGGTTGTATCCAGCACGCTGGAAACAGCTGGCGGTGGCAGAGCCATGGAAAAGCTGATCAGGCGCAGGGTGTGGGTTTCTGTTCGAGTAAAAGCGCACCGAATGAAAGAACTAGTCAAACAAGTCCAGTGTTTGCCTTGCAAGGGGATGGGTCGCCATATGGTGGTTTTCCACTCCAGATCCTAGGTGTAGGACTGGCAACATGTCTATGAGCTCAATCTTGGGAGGAAAAAAAACCCTGTGTTTATATCCTGTTGAGCTGTTTGGAGCTTTGCTTGCTGGGAGCTGCATGTGCTCTACGCACAGTCAGGGAAACTTGATTCAGAGCAAGCCTAGATTTGAATTGGCCAGCACACACGATAGTTTCAGCTGTTTTCTGATAAATGAAGTTTATCCTGGATTCAGCTTTTAGAGAACTTTGATGTGGACTTATAAATGCCTGATTAGCTGATAAAGCCTGCCAGGAAAAGGTCATCCATGGAAATAAATTGAATAATGGGAGGTTTGCCTCCTACACCTGCACTCTGTTATCTGGCCACAGTGTTTTGACCTCTTCTAAGCCAGGTTTACTGTATCAGCCAGCTCAGGCCTTTATTCTGGGATGAAGCAAATGACATCAGGACAGGGATTAGCCAGGGCACCTTAGCACTTGCTAGCTGACTCTTTACGTGCATAGTTTAATTCTTCAAAACACGGAGTTAAGTGTTGCTCTTATCCTGAAGCTGGTTTTCCCCATTTGAGCTGCAGGCCAGGAATTGTGTTAAGCTGCAGAGTGCTGGCAAATCTGACTGAGCAATTCCTTTCTCTCTCTACTAGCAAAGGGGGTGGCTAGGAGAGTTTTATTCATCTAATGCCCCAGCCTGAGCAGCTCATGGAGACACCTTCACCTGTGAAAGGGAGCAAGAGGGTTACAGGGGCAGGGACCATTGCTGGAGAACCTGGTTGAACTGCCGAGCGCTTCCACCTGTAACTTCAGTGGCTCGTTTCTTGTGGCACCACACACAGAAATATACTGGGAACAAAACAGCATTTGCAGATTGCGCAGTGGGGTTAGCCTTCCGCAGTGCTCTACTCTTTATATCCCTAGTGACGTTTAAGCTGGATGAAGAAATCGGAATCTTACAGTCAATATTCAATGTGACATTTCTGTTGTAATTTGATATTGCAGGAGCATTTGCCCTGAATCCAGTACACACATCCTTTCCTCATGTTTTGGTTTCTTTTTGCCAGCTCATTTCCAGTCAGAATTTTTCTGCCTCCCACCCCCTTTTCCTTGTTCATTGACCTTTCTTTTGCCCTCTAATCGACTCGCTAAACCAGCCTGTCTAATATTCCTGCTTCTGTTCCTACAAACCACCTGAGTGGTAAAACTGCATCAGAAAAACATCTGTGAAATTTGAAGCCATTATTTAGTGTCTGGCTAAAGCACATAAAGTTGGCTTTATATTTCTGTAAAAGATTAGAGAAGAGCAAAGATAGCTTTTCTGTGGTCTAGGTCATAATTTGACCACTGAAATCTATAATCAAATGAAAGAAAGCAAACTCAACGCTAATAATTTTCCATATGTTGCCTGATTGCACAGGGTGTAATAACATACAGATGACCTGGAGAGCATTCGGGAGTGCCTGTGTGTAACACATCTATGGCAAATGTCACACTGAGAGTTAACTTGCCTGAACAGCACCCTCCGATGGTATTCCGGATTTGTAAGAGTCATGTGAAGCATGAGCAATGACACTCCTGTTCTTGCACAACTGTCTGGGCTCATTGATAGCAGCTATTAAGCACCATGAGCAGGATTAAGGAGAGATGTCGTCAGCTGCTGGCATTACTGCTTCTACTTAAGGGCTTTAATGCGAGAACCTCAGCTCATGCTGTGTTGAACTTGAGTTGCAGGGAAGTGAACCTTGTCCTGGTACTTGACATCCTGTCAACTGAGCAGGGATACGGGAAAATACTTTGAGTGTGTTCATGTATAGGACCTATGCATGAAAACGAAATTATGAGCAGAAAAAATAACCCTGGGGAGATGGCAAGTAAGATTTTTTTTTTTTGAGGGCTTTAACAGTCAGTTGAAACTGCAGTCCTACAAGGAATTACACATTGCACCAAACTGAGGAGATGTTGAATACAGATTTTGAGTAAGAGGGAAAATAATTCTCCTGTCCCAGTCCTCAAGTGAGGTTATCCTTTGCATGCTCATCTGCACCTTGACATTGTCTCTGCCTCCCAGGGAGTATCTGTGAAGGCTGTTAGGACTGTGCAGACACCCTCACCCAAATTCACCCTCAGGCTCTCACCTGGCAAGGTCAAAGCCCTGTGTTTTGAAGGGCATGGGAATCAAGTCTATTTTCTTTGCTCCCAGGGCACCATTGTCTGCTTCTCCTTGTAGCCTCAGCCAGGCTGTCACACTAGCAATAGAAAAGAAATTTCTTAAATTACTAGTGCTAATCATCTGCTTGTGCACCACATCCCTCCTTCAGACAGGGCGAACGCCCTGGCCCGACGCTGTTGCAAGCCAGCCTTTGTTCATTCGGTACCAAGCAGGACTGGAAACTCGGGGATGCTGCTATGGGCATTCAGCAGGGCTGTTCAAGTGTTGCTTTTAGTCCTCAGAGAAAATAGATGGTTACTTAACCAGCCCCATTAACTGGCAAGGGTGGGTATATTCTATTAATTGTTTGCTAGAAAACTAACACTCCCTTTGTTTTTTATTACAGTTTTCTAACTGCCTAGGGACTCAGACAATAACAGATTGACCAAATACGACAGCGATGGTGAGTGTGCGTGTTTTCCGTACCGTGCTGTGCCAAGCGTTTGCTCTGATCAGATAAATGTGGGGAGCGTAGCTCAGATAAGGACACAGCAGGAAGAACACTGTCACTGTCTGTCCCTTTATGGGGGGTGAGTTTATCACTTCTCTCTGCTTCCTCATACTAGAGGAGTATGACCCACACGTACGGGCTTTTCCATTTTGGGAGTTAATGGAAAATCCGATCAGATATTAGTTCAAAGAACATGAATTTCTCCAGATAAACTTCCTGGGCATATTATTCTTTCCAGGTTCAACCTGCAAGGTAGCCATCTGTATGGTAGTTATCCCTGTGCCTGTTTCAGAAAGCCTAACCTATACAAATGTTAAGCAGTCTTTTGCTGATGATTTTCATGGGAACAGGGAGAGCTTTGTAAGAGACAGTGTAGTCCCACAGAAATGGCACTGGACAGGAGGCAGGAGAAACCTGTTTGTGAATCACTGTTTTGAGCAAAACACTGCACTTCCTGGTGCATTATTTTACAGAATGATGGTCCTTGGCTGCTCTTAGAGAAGTCAGGAATAGGGCTTTGATGGGAACAGCTTCTTCTATGATTTACATGGAAAACTGCTGGGAAGAAGCCCCAGCTGGACTGAACAAAGGTGACAGGCTGCTTGCCATTATTTAATTGGAAACCAGATACTCCATGGCCAGCTATATGAAGATATTTTCTCCTTTTAGTTGTGTCCCTGTGGCTTATTTTTTATGTGGCTGGGAAGTCCCTCTAGAACAAACTGTTTCTCTTTAGGGTAGGATGGAAGCCTGATATAAAATCTCTCATGTTTGGTGGGTGGACTTTACTTGCTGTCACCATGTTTGCATCTTTTGAATTAATTCAACTCTACTGTATGTATGTATCACTTTGAGTCTGCCTTTGATAACTCCTCTCCTGTGGGTTTAGGCAACAATAAAGGGGGTCTCCAGTTTCAGTGCTGAACAAGAAGCACAGGCACTAAGGAAGGCTATGAAGGGATTTGGTAAGTTGGTCTCCCTCCGCTGTTAAACCCTCTTTTTCCCCCCTGAGCATTGGGAATGTTTTGTCTGGTGGTTTGTTAGAGAGGAAGTCTAGCCATTTGCATTGCCCTACTGGCCCATGAGGGCACTGAAAGGAATCGAGCGACTTGATCAGGCTGTGACTTGAACACAACTTGAAATCCAAGTCTCGGCCACAAAAACATCCTTAGTCGGGCTCTTGTCTTGTGTCTCCTGCTGTGTGGTACTGCCGTGCCGCTGGCTGGGTTGAGCCTCTTCTGTATGTTGATCTAGTCCCCAATGCTGTTGAGAACCAGGTTGTGCAAGGAACAGAAGATGGCTAATGGCACACTCTGGATAAGACCAGAACATGCTTCTGGTTCTTGTGCAAGCAGCCTCACTGGTTTCCATTGGTTTCTTCCAGGCACAGATGAAGATGCCATCATCGAGATCTTGACGAAACTAAACGTCTCCCAACGTCAGCAAGTTCTGATCACCTATAAAAGCAGTATTGGCAGGGTAGGTGATCTTCAGAGATTAGAGACTGTGGCTTTAACTGGGAGATGCAGACAATTTTTGGGTTATATCACTTGGGTGAAATGTGAACAACGTCCTAGTCTCCATGACAGTAAGGTTAGCACAAGCTTTCCCTGGCCAAGTTTATTTTGGTCTTGTTCACTTCAGAGCAACTCTTCATTCAAGGAGGGTTGGAGCATGAAGAAAAGTGGTGAATGAGTTCTTTCTGTTCTCAAAGGCTGTATCTTCTCCCAACTCCTTTCTTCTCTCTGTCTTCTAGGATTTGATTGATGACTTGAAGTCTGAGCTGAGTGGGAATTTTGAAAGTGTGATTGTTGGTATGATGACTCCTACCACCATGTACGACGTGCATGAACTGAGGAGGGCTATGAAGGTTCGGAAATCTTCCTTTTATGTTGCTTAAGTTCTGGTCAATTTAGTACGATATGGCATAATTATACATTTATTATTAATTTATTATTATTAACTTTATATAAGTTAAAAAAAAAAATCCTAGTTGCACATTAAAACAGTTGTCATTATAATTTTGGATCTTGTCTTTGCAATTCCCTAGGGTGCAGGAACAGATGAAGGTTGCCTGATTGAAATTCTGGCTTCTCGCACAAACGAAGAGATTCGGCGCATTAATGAGAACTACCAACTTCGTATGTAGTGCAAACTGCAAGCATACTGTCTGAAAAGTCACTGGTGTGTATGCATGGACATGTGAAGAGGAAGGCGAGGGGTCTGTTAGCCTTTAGATGTGACAAATCAGCCAATACAACTATTGCCATTTGTCCAGAGAGAACCTCTGAGTTAAACAGGTGTCAACAGCAGGACTGCTAACAGCCTCAAAGATTAGCATTTCACCTAGAAATTGAATGGATGTAAATAAAACGGGATGGGGTGGTTATGTCTGTCAGTTGGATGTCTGTCCATGTGTGGATCTATTGCCAGTTTTATACTGGCTGTGCTTCTTCATTTTGACCTGTAGCACTGAATGTGATGGCTGGACTGCTATGATGATGTTTAGAGCCCTGAGCACAGTTATATACTTACCTAGCTTACAGCTGGCAAATGTTGTGGTCAAATAGTGTCCAGGTGGTGGACCTGTTACTAACATACATCATATGTGTGTGTGCTCTTGCTAGAATATGGCTGTACCCTCGAGGAGGACATTGTCTCTGACACATCTTCCATGTTTCGAAGAGTCCTCGTGTCCCTCGCGACGGTAAGTCCAGGCTAAGGGAAATGGGGGTGAATCTTCCTGTTGCTGATGGACGTGCCTCTCACTTCGGTGATGAGGTGTTTCAGGCTGGCTTTTATCTCACTTACCTTGCATTTCACTTCGCCTGCATTTCACACCCAGCTTCTGCAGGGAGAGGAGTATACCGACTCTGGGTATGCCTTAATGCCATGTGCTCTTTTTAAAATGGCCCAGTTAACGTGGATTGCTGCTCATTTCAAAAGGAAGTACAAAACACATCTTAGCCATATTTCGCTGTATTTATAAGCTACTATTCAATTTGAAGGATCCCGTTATGCATCTCCAGTAACTTGTTTTGAATGGGGAATTTGCAGGACTTGCTTCCATTAGTTGCTCTGGTGAAATGAGTTTTTCATCCTTGTATCTCTGCAGGGAAACAGAGATGAGGGAATGTATGTGGATGAAGCCCTTGCTCAACAAGATGCTCAGGTGTGTAGCAATTTGCTTCCTCGCAAGAATCATCTGTTCTTGTACATGTGATGCATGGTGAATCCTTGCTTTTTCTAGACCTCATTTTTTTCAAGGTAGAACAGTAAGCCTGAAGCTATGCTAGACAGCATCACCCTAGGTGGAGACCTAGTCTCAGTTTTGACCCTTAGAGAAGCCTCTTCACTGTTCTGACTCAGCCAGTGAAATGGGGATAATGGTTCTAGCCTCCTTTGCAACTCTGGGGTGAGAGGTCTCTAGACAGGCTGGGTATTTGGGCGGGGAGATGACATTTCATTTGAGAGTTGCTGTGCTTGGTTGTATTTGTTGGAATATATCTGTGATCTAGACAAGCCACAGGCCAGCAGTGCTCAAGCACCAAGGAAGTAAAAATCTCATGTTATGTACACCTGGTCTTCTCAATTAGCCTTACTTTGTCTATTCATAATGTCTTCAAGTGTCTGTATGAAGCTGGGGAGAAGAAATGGGGAACAGATGAGGTACAATTTATGGCCATCCTCTGTACACGGAACAGATGCCACCTACTAAGAGGTAGGACCCTCCACAGTGTCCTCGATTTTTTTCCTTGTTTGAGGATGATACTTTTGTAGGAGCTTTGTTCTTGTTAACTGATTGTGAGCTCTTCCTGAGACAGAGGTATCCTAGACCCCAGTCACATTCAATTTTTTAAGACCGTTTTATTCCCTCCTGAGACAAAAAGGGACTTGAGAAAAACATCAGTACAACTCGCTCCAGCCTGTAAATTGGAGATAATGCAGTGTGACTCCCGTTGGGGCAGAGCTAAGCATTTAAACTGCCATCATTAACTAGCAGTTCTTGAAAATGCTAGCAGCAGTGGTAGGCCAATTAGCAAGACAGTTGATAATTAAAATTAATTACTTCTGTTGGACAGCCCTGATTTAGCGTACAATGTCACAATAATGGTACAATGTTCATACAAAGTATGAGGAGCTTGATCTTGCAAAGTGATCCTTGGTGGTTTACACACTGTATGCCCTGAAGCATCTCACTTGCTCTTTTTATCACTGACTCTTCCTCCTAGTTTTTGATGTGTACAGAGGGATTGCTAATAAGGACATAACAGACAGCATTAAATCCGAGATGTCAGGAGACCTCGAAGATGCTTTGTTAGCTGTGGGTGAGTGCCCTGCTTTTAAACTTTGTCTACAAAGTAATTAATAATTAGAGATACTGTATCTTGCCCTGGCTGGCTGTTTACATAGCTTCAGGAGGCAGATTCTGTTTGCAAGCCTGTCTGCAAACAGTGTTTTACTCTTTGCAGATACAATTGGGTGAGAAAGCTCTGTGCTTTATGATATTGTTTGCTTTCCCAAGTAATGCTTTGGGAGCTGACATTTGCTGTCAGGAAGCATTAAAGCCTTAAAGAAAATACTGCTCTGCACTGGGCAGGAAGACATCAATTTACAGCAGGTCACTGACTATGGATGTCTGCATTGTACTTGCTGTTCGTTGGCTCTGAATTGCATCTTTACAGAATAAACACCTTCACTAAGAAAGTGCTGTAAAGGTTTGGAAGACCTTCTCCTTCAGTTTTTATTGACCTTAATTCTCTTGTTCTTGTCTCCCTTACAGTAAAGTGCATGCGAAATAAACCTGCATATTTTGCTGAAAGATTGTATAAATCCATGAAGGTAAAGAGCTTTTGGTGGGAGATTGCTATTTTTTTTTTCCCTTGCCTTTTCATGCTTGAGTCAGTAGTAGCATGACAGCAATCATTAGATAAAAGGAAACTCTGCTATTAACTAGGAAAAAAAAAAGTCCGAGTTTTTATATAGACCTTTTTTCCCTCAGGAAGCTCCAAGCAGCGAGCTGCTAATGCAAAATGCTCTGATTAGGAATAGATCCCACGGAAGACCAAGTGATAAAACCTTTGTGTCTGTCACTGATTTATCCAAAAGGCTTTGTAGTTGTACATGGTTTGTTTATTTCTTTAGGGCTTGGGAACAGATGACAACACGCTGATCCGAGTGATGGTGTCCCGCTCTGAAATAGATATGCTGGATATCAGAAGGGAATTCCTGACCATGTATGGGAAATCGCTCTACTCCTTCATTAAGGTAAGTTTTTCAGTGTTAGAAACAAAGAGCTGGATTTGCTAAGCAGCTTAAAGGAGACAGGTCCCCACTTGACACCTATTGGGTATTTTAGAGGAGCTGGAATTAAGGAGGCTTTACATTTATGTACTGAAAATGTTCCTGAATGTTCTTAGTTCTTAAATTGTCAAAGAGGATACAAACCCTACAACAAATTGTATGCGCTGGGAAGAATCCAGCCTTGTATGGAGCTGTAAAACTAATTGTGTTCCTTTTTTCTTTTCTCTCTAGGGAGACTGCTCAGGAGACTATAGGAAAGTTCTGCTCAGGCTCTGTGGTGGGGAGGATTAAAGGATGCCTGGTGTATTGCCTGGGTGATGGGAAGCAGTTCATCATAAGGATTTCTTTCTTCTTAATTTTTCCCAAATATCTTGTTAATTGTTATGAGTATTGACTTAGGTTAGTTAATGCTCTGGTTAGATAATGGCCATTCCGGTTGACCCTTTTGATATACTTTCATGCTTGGAACACCCATTTGTCTACTAATAGGGCTAGTAAAGCCCATCTTAAACAGAATGCTATAACCAGATATATAAAAAATAATTTGTTTCTTGACAAGCTGTCCCTTTGCTGTTGCAATCACCAGCAAAACTTATCAACTGAAGCAAACTTGGATGCAGAATGTGAGAGGCTGCACAGGGAAAAATGAACCTCATCAATACATGGAGAGTGCAGAATGCAGGCTTGCTTCAGTTTTTGCAAGATAATTAAAACACAAAGAAATCAATCATCTAAAATACAAGCACATTTAGATCTTAACTTGCCCTGTGTTCATGTGGAGCATTAACAGCCTTGCTGCCCTTTATGTATATGTTGCCTGTAGATCTGTAGGTAGGGAAGATGTCACTGGTGACATCAGAAAAAACTCCCACTGCCCTGGTTAGAGATCAGCCCTGTATTCTTCATCTGTCTTCCTTGACTCGTGGGAGTATAAATCATCAGGGTTGTATTACAAACCCTTCCTCTGGATACAGTGATGTCATTAGAACGGTGCCTTTTAAGGAATGACCTGTCCCCAAAACTGCATCTCATCAGCACTACTTGATGCCTTAGACTGCGATGCCTTGTACTGGGGTAGCTCCCCAAATCTCACCAGCGCTGGCTGGTTGGAGCCCTGTGTAACACTACCGTTAGAGGGTCTGGTTTTTGTGCCTGTGCCTGACTTGGACTTCCACACCAACCTCTGGAAGAAACTTTTTCCCCAGACCCTACACAACTGCCTGTTGGCAAGCTAAGTGTTGTTTTCACTACAAAAATGTGGTTCTTGTTTGGCTTAGCAATTTATTTTTTTAGCTGTTAGTATACAATTCTGTTTTGAAGGCACCACACTGAGGTTAGAATTTGAAGGCACAAATATGGCTTACACCCAATTCTGTCGCTCATTTTGTCCTAAATTAGGCTACTGTTGGCTTGAATAGGAGATGCTTCTGTGGCCTCAAATAAAATAATTTTCTTTCCTGTTCTCTGTGCTGTAACTGGAGATACATTCCTTAGTTTTGCTGGGAGAGGAGGCAGAGCTTTTCCCAGTCCTACTGAAGCCTGCTCAGTGAAGGAAAGATTGTCTTACCCAGTACAACAGGCTAACAGATGCACGCAGGCTTGGTTTTGTGTTTAAATGCCCCGTGTTACGTTGCCGACTTTTAAAAAACGAATAAACAACTCGTTTCCGTACCTTCCGCCATGATTGTGTATTCTGGGAGAGGTAACGTGAAATAACTGTGTCCTTGTCTTTTGAACAACTTCTGTGCTCTGCAGGTGCTTTTTCTCCTATGCCTGGGCCTCCACGTGCCAGCTAAGTGGGAAGAGGCTGCAGGGAGACGTCCTTCAGCTCCTCAGCTCGGAGCGGGGGGCCCGGGGCCCGGTGGCACGCTGCTGGGGGGCACGTCTCCCGCTCACGAGGAAGAGGCACATGCATTGCCCCCATCTCTGCGGGCCCATCGCAGAG